TATATAATGCAAACCTAGCATAATGTCTGTCATTTATCAATGACAATTAACCAGGCTGATTTGGAGCAGATTAAAAAAGATGAATGAGAGCAATTTCTGCTCTGCATAATTTGTCTATCCATTCAAAACATTAAAGAAGGACAACCTTTAATTATTAAACCGTATACATCGTTTTTCTCTTAACTGGCCAGAGAGAGAGAAGATGGGGGGGAAAAAACGAGTTAAGACATTTAGCCATTGCGAGTGTTTGTACATGTATCTTAACGCATGAAAACGACTTTACATTATTCAAGTGTGTGTGTGTGTGTGCGTGTGTGTGTGCAGCTGCCTTTGGGTGTGGAGCATATAAAAAGTTTTAAACTTTCACTCACCTCACCTGGTTCATAAAGTTTGGTTCAATTGCAGTAAGTAAGATGTAAGATGTTGATTGAGCCACTTTACCGAGCAACGTCTGACATTTAGTAAATCGACATTCTTCAGGATGGCAGAGGCCCTGTCGGGTGCTAGTTAGGCGTGAGGTACTGGTGAGGATCTCTGATACAACGGTTAACGTGTGCGTGTCCCTCTCAGGCAGCCAGTGTATCCTTTTCCTTCTCCCACATGTTGTTGTCCGACTTCACCACCACCTCTTCTTCATTTTCTGCTTCAAAGCCAGTCAGACCGGAGCACCGCAGAGTCTCGGCCGCGGCCTCGGGGCTCGGACGCCGGTGCCAGCACCGCTTGCGGGTGGTGCCGTCCGAGCCAACATGATCACTGTGCCACCAGCAGGGCTGCAGCCGGCGGAGACGAGTGTCACTCCAATTAGGGAGCACAAAAAAAAAAAAAAGCATTGAATTCGTGCTTCGGCGCACATGTGGACGCGTAAAAGCTATGCAACTACCAAAAAATTAGACTAATCAAATGTAATGAGGGATTTGGCTAGAAAAACCCTGTTCACACGTCGTGGGGCCTTTTGGTTTGCCCGGGGGGAGAAACAAGAGAAAGTGGCACTTCATCTGAAAGAAGTCTCGCTGGGAGAGCAAGAGACTAATTTAGGACGAGTTCAATTCATCTTTAACAAGATGAATTAACTGATCCCTGGGATGTACATAGCCTCAAGAGCGCACGTTTGCACCCGCCTTTGTGTGTGTGTGTGTGTGTGTGTGCGGAGTGCACCCAATTAGTTAAAGAGCCCGCACCCACACACACACACACACACACACACACCTGTCTACCTGCACTGACAATGGCCCTGCGGCTGCGCGCATGCATTTACACATTAATTGACCAGGCTTGGGGCCTTTAATTAGTCAGTCAAGAAACTTAATGACGCTGGATGGTTGGTGACACCGGGGAGACGGGTGGTCGGCAGGCAGAGCCACCACCTCCTTTACAGCTCAGAGCCCATGATGTTACATGATGGGAATGTATATGTCATTACATTACTGCGTCTAGATGGGAGTGTGGGGCCACTTATCCATCCTCTTACAAAATAATCACCTCTACGCTTCTACCCGTTTCTCCGTCCACTTGTCTCTTCCCTTTAGCCTCAATCTTGAGTATCTCTTCAAAACCTACGACCCAGCGTTTGATGTTACGGCCTCGGAGAGAAGAAAACGAGAAAAAAAAAAAGATCCATCTCTGGCTCCCATCGAATCAAGTGGCAGTGTTGTAAAGTTGTTTCTCAAGTAACGCATGCCGGCCGACTCTTCGAGTGGGGCTGATGAGCCGCGGCCGCCTGAGCGTTTTCGAGCGCAGCGCGTTACCTCTCTGCCTTTGAGCACCGCCTGAGTTCTGTAGAGCAGCAGAAGACGCACGTCACTGTCCCGGAGGCTGAAGTTACTCTCCAGGATCTGCAGCACGTCGATGCGGGGCCGAACGGGGAGCGCCGCGTCGCCGCAGAACGGATGCAACCACGCCAGGAGGTCATCCGAGGTCACCGCGCTGTCACTGAGGGAGAGGACGAGGAGGACAGCGGTCAGACCGGCACGGAGTGAGACAGAGGGACAGAGGTTTCTTCATACTAGCATCGCCTCTTTGCTTGACATTTTCCATTTGGGCCACCATCTTTTTGCCTGTCATGGTTCTTTTACCATCCGAAGGATGTTTGCCCTCATGCTGTGTGCGGATGATCTCATCAGAGCTCAATGTGACAGCCGAGGATGTGGTGCGTGTTGAGTCTGAGAAGATAACGCGGTGAATATCATTGCCTCGTCCAAGAGCGACAGTGTAGTGCGGTTCCAGGCACGTTCATGCATTCACGTGCAGTGGTTAACAGAGCACTGTGCATTTAAATCTCCTGCTTAATTGGTATTTCTTTCTGGCAGCACACGGTGGAAGTGGAAAGAAAGACAACAAAAAACACTGTTGCTTTTCCTAATGCATTAACACTGTTCTAGCTAGAAACTATTTGTGAATCAATCAATCAATCGATGAATTGGCAAAAACAAATCAAAAGATTTTGTCAAATAATCGCTCAATCATTTTGTCATTTTATTTCCTATTAAATGCCACGAACGTCCCTGGTTTCAGGTTCTTAAATGTTTGGATCTACGGCTCTTTTTTAGGATTACTAAATTTGAAAAAGTCCTGAAAAACAGTGACTGGCATTTCCCATAATTTATAGACAAAACGTTGACAGGGTTTATCAATGATAGATATAATTCTTATTTGCACCACTAATCCACACAAAGAAAAAAAAACTGAAAGGAAATGTCTCACTGACATTGAGGAATCATTTTGTCAGAGATGCATTTATTTCACTTTGTTCTCATCGAAGAAAGTTTGCTGCTGCTTTTGTTGTTCAACTAGCAGACAGACACTTTACTGGCATTTGACACACAGCAGGTGTTTCAGGCTTTGAATAGAAGCTGAGAGAGAATAAATAGAGCGACAGAGGAAGAGAAACATTTTGGAAGAACGTTCAATCAATGTGGGACAAAGTGTGTGTGTCTGTCTGTGTGTGTATGAGAGTGGATTACCTACCCACTCTGCACATTATTGTGCACCGCGGTCACCATGGCCTCCAGGACCCTGAGGGGTTGTGGGTAATTTGTCAGGGCGTCCAGGTCTCCACTGTTAAACAAACCACAGCTCAAAAATCTCGCAAAATATGCTAATCAAGATACAATTTTCAAATGTCCGCAGCAAAGAGGGAGAAGAACTGAGGGAAAGAAACAAATCAAAGGCTTTCTTCTCCACAACGTTAAAAACGTGTCTGCCAGCAATTAAACGTTTTATGCAAATACAGCTCTGTAAAAAGAGTGCGAGAGACATGAAGCAGGAGAAATAATTTAAAATCGTCGACATCGTTACAGCTCAACGGGCATGTTGGTTGAATTCAGCAAAAAATGCTTTAACACTTTAATTATTTAAGGATGATTAAAGAGGGTTGTACTTCAACAGCACAAAATACTAGCTGAGCTTAAACGAGGTAATGTGGGATCTGGTCATTGGTGGTATTTCCTGTTGTGACTGTAGGTTCTGCTGCACTATGCGCGTGTGTGTGCGTTTGCGCTGTGTCGCAAAAGGAGAGCGATTTTTCACAAAGACAGAAAGTGAAAAAAACGGTAATTTCCCCAGACTCCACTCTGCTTTGCAGCCGTTTTAATGTAGGTACACATATACACAAAGGCACCAGGCACACACACACACACATATATACATATAAATTGATATATTTTCAAGACAAGACAAATACATGCACACAACATACCACTGGTCTAGAAAAGGGCGGAATGACGACGCAGCATTTCCTTTATAGCATTTTACTACTTACGGCCAACACACACACACACACACACACACACACACACTCTCAAGTTATGACAGATACAAAAGATGGCCATTAGTGTGAGGCCTGCTGCGCCAGACTGAAGGCTTTGTGAGAGCCAAAAACAAGACCGGCTCATTCATACCTGCCAAGCACAATGCTTTGAGAAAGCCCTGCAACGACAAGACACGCGCACGCACACGCACACACACACACACACACGCACACGCACACGCACACACGCACTCATGCACGCACACAGTCCTACATGAATGCACAAAGGGATATTCATTATGCACAAACAGAGTGACATGTTCAAGGTAACAGCAGCCTTTGGTGAATACATAAGGCTGTGTGTGCATTTTGCACCTGACACACAGAACACACACACGCGCGCACACACACACACACACACACACACACACACACACACACACACACACACACACACACACACACGCATGCATGCACACACACAGGCTGAGTGTGTACTGTATTTGTGTGTTGGTGGAGGAGCAGAGTGAGATCTGGAGGGGAACAGCTGTATCAGGCTGCATTAATTATTAGAAGATAATGACTCAGAGAAAGGAGAAAAGTGCGTGAGCTAAAAAACAGTCTTTTGTCCGTCAGGGATAGTGGCCACGTGTCTGCGTAACTGCATATGTTTGAGTGTCTGGGCCCGTGCATGAGATTCTTCCGGTGTGTAGGAGTGTGTGTGTGTGTGTGTGTGTTTGCCATCTATCTGCACCACGCGTCATTGAGCAGCCATAAAGAAGCGGGAAATGAGGCAGGAATATTTAATTGAGGTGATTGGCATTCATTCATCAGGCCAATCAGATGGCCCGGAGAGATGTCAGGTCCTGTCAGTAAAACAAAGGCTTGCATTGGTCCGTCAGCGAGCGCAGTAAGGGCATTGAGAAAAAAAACAATAAAAGAATAAACTCTGAAGTTAAGGCTTCCATTTCAGCTCACGTAACATTGCTTACATTCTGTGGTTTTTGTCTGCGAAGAACAACAAGACCCAAGTATTTTCCATTGCCCTGAACTCTTGCATTTTCCGAAACATGTCGGCCTGAATCATCGCTGCCTTCCTTTTGAATGCAGCCAACAACAAGACACCGATAAAATGCCGCCAGTCCAACTCCCACAGGCAGCTACTGTAAAATCAATTCAACCCTTCGGGCATTTGTTATGACAGTGGCTTCCCTGCAAACCCGCTGAGCTCGGAGTGGACCAACACACAGAACATTTTGCGATAACAACCAGCAGAGATCAGGTCGGGTGGGGTGTTCGGGCAACCTTCAATAATTTGAAAATGTTACATCATAAAGCCCTCTTAAGGGGTGGACAAAGGTATTTGTGTTAATCATACCAGACAGGTGTGAAAGGGCTGCAAGTAGAGGATAATGTTTGAAAAGGCGCCGTAGCAAATGTAGAAGACATTTGTATAAGGCAAAAAGGGAAATGCTTGTAAAACTTGATTTTCCTCCCGCTTTCGTTAGCTTTGTCACGCTGTGGGTTATCTTCGGTAGCACACAGTGCACAAGCCTACAGCAGTGTAATTTTCTCAGTGCTTTACTATTATTAACGACTGAACAACTCAGGGCTAGCAGTGGGCCTATCAGTGTGCAACACCATTTATGATTTATAACCCAGTGAAAACACCAGCGATGCCCACAGAAAGGACAAAAAGAACCGTGTTCTGACTCAAGAAGCAGAGGGTGAGATTTTATCTGAATGGTGGCAGACGCAGAACGTGTTAGTGGCGCATTAAGTTTGTTATTGAACTGAAGAGAAAGCCAGGAGAGCGCTTTCCTTTCGCTTCCACTCTTTACGCTAAGCTACGCTAAACTACGCTAATCTCCGGGCTCCAGCGCCACATGTATGGCTCAGACGTGACGCGGCCGATCTAAATTGCGGGCCAAGCAAGCAATGAAGTGTAATTAGAAAAATGGCGTGTCCTTAATTGTGTCACTGTGCGCGTTCTCAAAGGGCTGATGTTTTTAAGGAAGCAGAGATATATTACCTGAGTGCAGCCACTACTCGCTCCATGGCGTCACCGAGCACCGTTTTCACAGACAGCTCCATGGGTCCAACAGCCACACGCAGAAGCTCTCCAACGCGATCCAGGGGCTGTCCATCAGTTGCCATGGTGACTGCCAGCTCATGTACTTTTGACCTCTCGGATCGGGACAAATCATAAAGTTGATCGTACCTCTGGAATGAAGGGGGGGGGGGGGGGGGGGGGGTTATGGTGTGAGAGATATTTTTGACCTTTAAAATATATTAAATAATAAATATATTAAATATATTAAAAGTGAAAGGGCGAGACTAATTTATACTAATTTAGAATTTTCAGACTTTATTTAATTTAGAAAATACAAATGGAAAAAAAATAGTAATGTGAAATGGCAAAAGAAACGGAAGCAAAGAAGGGCAGAAGAGCAGCGTTGAGTGAGTGGAGTCGGTTGTCGAGTGCTCGGCTCTCTAAAGGTATTAACCCAGACCTCAACCTTCTCACTCTCCCCGCGGTCCTTCTCCCCTTTGCTTGTTTTTCTCCCTTCCAATAAAAACGGCTTGAGAATCTCAACCTGGAGAGGTGAACATGTGCTTGTGTGTGTGTGTCTGTGTGCGAGTAAGTGGCCATCTATTGTTATTTGAAAAGGATATTTCCTTGATTTAAAACATTTTCAGCACAAATCCTCATTCTGTTTTCCTTCATTGTTGCCTTTCTATATTCCTAACATATTGTCCTCGTCTGTGGGCAGAACTCTCCTCTTTGGGTTGACATTTGCATGTAACAGTCAGAGCAGCTACAAGGCGCTTTGGTCTGGTGGGTTGCTCGTCACTGCAGCGACCCAAGAACACGTCTGTAGAGGATAATGTCCGCTCTGGAGGTTAATACTTAATACTGGACGGGCTTTGCTGGGTAAATGCGGCCGTGCAGATACTGTGAAAACCAGGGGTTGTAAAATTAGATGCAGCGCGCTGCTGCTGGTACTGCACGTCCCTCTTGTTTGCCAGGAGAGAGACAAGCGACGGGGACAGATGTTGCCGTCTCCAGTTACCTCAAGATGGCAAACTTTTAGAAAGCAATTCGGAGAGCACTCGTCTTTGGGAAAACAATCACAGAAGAAGAGCTTGCGTTGATTCCTCGGAGACGTCGACAGTCGAGTCAAAGCAGGCTATTGATATTCATGCTATATGGACATCATTCATGATATATGACAGTCATATTATATTCATAAGTGGGTTGTCCTGGCCGAATACTGATGAGTTTTTTTTTTTTTTTAGATAATCTTCACAAGCCAATTGTGATTCAGTTTGGGACCATGTTCATCTATTTGATAGATATAGATCTCTTGAAACAGGCATAGAGGAAGTGCAGGACAGAGCTGCACGATAAAACACCGCTCTCAAAGCGGTGCTCGGGTGTGTTTAGGGATATTGACACTGACATAAAGGACACAGGTGGTAGATGCGAGGCTTCTTCCCAAGAGGTCACGTTTAGAGAAAAATAAGAAGATGGAAAAGCAAATTTCGGAAAAACGGAAATTATTATTGGTGGCAATTTTGGTACCAACCAAACACCTGAATGTCCCCAGTTTGCCCTCAGTGGAGGATACTTTCTGCCTTTCACTTCCCATCCCTCGCTCCCCTCGCTTACATTGGTGAGCTGCTGCTCTTTTCACATACAGGTTGAAAATGGCCTGAATTACTTCTAAATGTGATGGGAATTCGGCACGCTCCATTACCGAGAAGGATAATCAGCACGGCCATGGGTTTTATACACTATTTGATCCATTGAGCCTAATACCAAAGGAAAACGAGAAGGTTATTTTAAAATCTCTACTTACTTCTACACAATAACCGCAGCGTGTAATTTGCTGTCCGTCTTCGTGGCAGTTTAAGCGCTGGGGCACATTCCTCTACGATCCACTATTATTCCCAGCAGCTGGTCACGTACACTTGATAAATGACCACGTTGTAGCAAACAGAGCCTACACGGCTCCTTCTATCTATCTTTCTCTACCCATCTGCCCTTTTGTGGTACTTCTATCCTTTGTATCTATCTCTAAGGATATAATCACTTCCTGCACTAGAAGAAGGGGAGATTTTGCAAACTGGTGTGTGTGTGTGTGTGTGTGTGTCTGCATATGTAGATTTAGCATTGGCTGTGTCTCGTAATGCCTGTATCTTCTCCACCATTATGGAGGGTAAATGCTTCTAAGCACCGATGAATCACTGGGTAAATATCGTAAACATGCACAGTGTGGGGGTCAGAAAACGATCAGTTCTCTCGGGTGTCTCATAGTCGCCTAGCAACACTGAGCTCCCCAAATAACAAGCTCCTCTCTCTAGCCCCACATTGATTTTGTGTGTACACACACACAGCTACAGGGAGGTGACGGTGGGGCAAGTCAGCACGACTTTGCTGAGTGACATATAGCATGGTGTGGATACTTTACACAGGGCTCATTTCAAACAGATTTACATTAATACATAGCTTAATGTAACCCAGGAATACGCACACACAGTCTGAATATCCCACGTTTTTCAAAACATTTTTTAACCCAGCATATTTAGACTTTTTTCCCCAAAGAAATTTAAAACAAATATTTTTTGACTTTTTTTCATGACATCTTTCAACCCAACATCTTTTAACTTTTTTAAAGCAACATTTTATGACTTGATAGTTGATTTTTATGGGGGGGGGAAATGTATTTTTTCTATTGGGTCATTAACGTGTAAATCAACAAGATGAAAGACACACAAACTAAGCATCAAATTTAATCTGATCACTATGTATATAGCGTATGCTAAATGTTGGGTCAAATGTACAAGAAGAGATCTTCTCCCCAAATAACGTTGGAAGTGTCTGGCAGATGGGGCGTACCTGCTGGCAGTCTTTGAGGGACAGAATGAAGGGGTGGCTCAGGGTGTCCAGGTGGGCCTGCGACTGCCGCAGGTGCGTCAGAGCCTCATCAAAAGTCATCTCGGCTGGGTCCTTCCGTAGAAGCTCCCCGCTGCCATCGCCGCCTCTCTTCCTGCTCTTCTCGCCCAGCTGGCGCAGGGCTTTGGTGGCTCGCTTTATCACCTCCGACCTCGCCTGGATGCTCAGCTGCAGACAGAATAGGATGGATGGGAGGCACACCGGGACGGAGAGGAAGGACGGGATAAGGAGAGCCAATTGGGGTAAGGGTGTGGGTCAAATTGAGGGTAGAGGGGAAAAGAGAGGCGCACAAGTTATGTACCGTGCATTCATTTCCAACTTAACGAGTTGACGAGCCTTAATCTATTCACAAGAATATCAACAGGAATTGGGGTGGCATCTGTGCGAGGAGTGTGTGAGAGAGATAGCTCAGCTCACAGCACGGTGTGATTGATTATATTCAGTAGGGCAGAGTGGGGGGCTTTGGCTGTGGGAGGGTTTTACTCTCTTCCATGGAAGCATGCACATTCACACCAGTGAAGACACTTACAAATCCCCCACCCTCACATTACCACCTACGTCAGCCACACACTCAGACACATGCAACTCATACGTCTGCCTTGGATAGATATCACGACTGAGACGGACAGGATGATCACTCAAATAGAGTTTCCTGACAAACCGGCACCATTTCTCTCAGGGGAAAGTTTGTAGAAGTTTTTTTTCTCTCTTTTGTTATGTGTGTGTGTGTGTGTGTGTGTGTGTGTGTGTGTGTGTGTGTGTGTGTGTGGAGGGGGGGGGGGGAGAAGTAGATATAAAAGCTTACAACCAACATCAGTCAAGGCCCTCGGGCAAGAATGAAAACCCGCTGGAGGTTGAGTTTCCACTAAAGAGGCTATCTGATATCAATGCTTCAAAGAGGGGAAAGTGCCATCGCTGCTTCAGGTGAAATAAGTCAGAGTCCTCCATCTCGCCCTTTGGCCATGCAGGGATTATCTCATTCATTGTGGGTGGGGGGGGGGGGGGGGCGC